GCATCCTCGGGATTGACGTCGCTCTCGGCTTTGCTGCACTGGCCCTTCAGCTTGGACACGTGGGCTAACAGAGCTGCTCGTAGAGGCCCGTCGTCGGCTGCGGTGATGGCGGCCTGCAGGGCGTGCACCTTCGAGGCGGCGGCGTCGCCGGCGGTGCCCCTGCTGGCCGAGGGCGCAAGCTGGAAACTGTTGTCTACCCCCTTGCCGCCGTTGGTCTTCTTCTTCTTGCCGACAGATCCCCGATGAAGTGTGAGCCACGTGCCACACGCACAGGTCGAATTGCGAGTGGCCAAAATGTCGTTGTACTCGCACTGTGGACAGGAGGGACACCTGGTCCACAATCGCCGCGCGCTGCTGTCGCCACCTTTCTTGCCGCCCTTCTTGCCTCCTCTGCCGCCCATGCCGGCGCAGAGATGCAGCAAGAAAGAACGAACATGATCTCACTTCGCACTGCTTAGCCGCCGCGCACGCTGGCACAAAAGGTGACTGCGGGCGCGGGCCACCCAAGCGCCGCGACGAGGTGCAGTGCTGGACTCAGGGCTGCCGAAATGGAGTTATGAGCCCAAGTTGCTTGAGGGCAGCGAAACGGAGAAGGAGGAGGAGGAGGAACTTTTTCTCTCCAACGCCAGGGAACACGACAGCCGCTCCGCTTCAGCCGAGGTGGGCGTGGTAGCGCGGCCGCGCTCGAGGGGCGCGCAAAGGGACCGACCGCGCGGGGCCCGCAGCCGCCCGCTCTGCTGGTCGCGGGTCGCTGGGCGGGGTGCCTGTGAACACCCCTGCCGAAGCTGACTGCTGTCCTGCCTTCAGGAGGGGCTCGCCCCTCTCGAGCTCCACCTTCTCCTCCGCCGCGCTCGTCGCGACGTCCACCCACGCCTCCCCGATGCGCCGCTGGACTCGCCCAGCCCTCGTGGGCCCATCGGGCGGCGCCCGAAACTGGAGCGCCGCACGCCCGCGCGGTCGCCCGCCAGCGCGGCCGCCGGCCAAGCTGCCTGCAGCCCCCCGCGGGGCCCGCGCCGCTCTGCCGCAGGCCAGCGTCGAAGCCCCCGCCGGCCGAACCTCCGTCGTCCGCCCCGCGGCCGTAGAGGACCGGGCGGTCGTCGGCCCAAGCGCCGTCAAGCTCCAACTGCTCCTCCGCGTCGCCGTCCGGCGCAGCGGGCCGACGACGGAGGCCCCCGCCGCCGAGGCCCAGAGCCGTCGCCCGTGGCCTCCACCGCCAGGTGGTTCACGTCGTCCTTCGCGCAAGCGCCCTTCCGGCCGCGGCGCGCTGCGCGCCATGGCCCGCGGTGTCGCCATCGCGGCCGCCTCGCCCTCGCCGCCGCCGCCGCCCGGGAGCAGCTGCAACGCTGGGCGCCTGCGGGGGCGGCTCTGCGGCAAGGCTGCGGAAGCCCGCGACTGCCGCGTGCAGCAGACCCTCTGCGGCAAGATGCGGGCTCCCGCGATGGACTGGACCGCTGCTAGCCCGGCCGCCGCATGCGCCAGGAGGAGGGCCCCCAGGGCCGCCTCCAGCGCATCGCGGCCCAGCGGCGCGCCCAATTGGGCACTGAGGACGAGGTGGAGGAGGATGTTGACTCTCCATTCAAAAACCATTCGGCCGGCGAAAGATCCAATCAGACGCAGTTGTGAATACCGCAATTCTGAAATTATATCTTCGCCCGCGCTCCCCATGGGGCCGCGAAGCGTGCGAGGGGCGTGCCGACATGCGTGGCGGGGCACCTAAAGCGAACCAGAACGATAGGTCTGTGTGCGACAGACTGAGAGCGAGTGAGTCTGATTGTGGATGAGTCTGCGCGCGCGTGGGTCTACGTGCATAAATGTCGACGCCCATGTCGGCACGCCTCTGACGAGGATCGCGCCCGCTTCCTTCCCGTTCTTCTTCTCCCTCTTTGCCCGAGCGCGCCCGCGTCCAAGGCTGCAGGCGCGGCGCCGCACGGAGTCCCCGCGACGCGCGCTGGTCGCCCCGAAGATGTCCCCAGCGACGCGCGTGGGTCGTCCGCCGCGCGGAGCACAGAGAGCGAGCAGGCTGGCTCCCGCTCGGGATGCCCAGCCCGAAAGCGGCCTCAACACGTCGAATACGACGAAAAACCTAGGAACATCGAACATCGCGGCCATGCGAACTCCGCCACTGGGCCGCCATGCGAGTTCCGCCACGAAGCGCTGTACTGGGTGGTGGATGACGCATGCGGGTGGTCCCACTGGGGCCTTCGGTGGAGCACCCGAAGGGGCAACGAAGCGCTGTGTTGGGTTGTGGATGACGCATGCGGGCGGTCCCACTGGAGCCTTCGGTGGAGCTTCCTGTGAGGCCACGGAACGCTGTACTGGGTAGTGGATGACGCATGCGGGCGGTCCCACTGGAGCCTTCGGTGGAGCTCCCTAGGAGGCGACGAAGCGATGTGCTGGGTGGTGGATGACGCATGCGGGCGGTCCCACTAGAGCCTTCGGTGGAGCCCTTTTTGGGGTCACGAAGCGCTGTACTGAGTGGTGGATGACGCATGCGGGCGGCCCCACTGGAGCCATCGGTGGAGCGTCCTGTGGGGTCACGAAGCGCTGTACTGGGTGGTGGATGACGCATGCGGGCGGTCCCACTGGGGCCTTCGGTGGAGCTCCCTAAAGGGCCACGAAACACTGTGCTGGGTGGTGGATGACGCACGCGAGCGGTCCCACTGGAGTCTTCGGCGGAGCCCCCTTTATGGGGCCACGAAGCGCTGTGTTGAGTTGTGGATGACGCATGCGGGCGGTCCCAGGAGCCTTCGGTGGAGCCCTTTTTGGGGTCACGAAGCGCTGTACTGAGTGGTGGATGACGCATGCGGGCGGTCCCACTGGGGCCTTCGGTGGAGCTCCCCATGAGGCCACGAAGCGCTGTGCTGGGTGGTGGATGACGCATGCGGGTGGTCCCACTGGGGCATTGGGTGGAGCCACCTATGGGGCCACGTAACACTGTGCTAGGCGGTGGATGGCGCATGCGGGCGGTCCCACTGGAGCCTTCGGTGGAGCTTCCTGTGGGGTCACGAAGCGCTGTACTGGGTGGTGGATGGCGCATGCGGGCGGTCCCACTGGAGCCTTCGGTGGAGCTCCCTATGGAGCCACGAAGCGCTGTGCTGGGTGGTGGATGACGCACGCGGGCGGTCCCACTAGAGCCTCCGGTGGAGCTCCCTATTGGGCCACGAGGCGCTGTGCTAGGTGGTGGATGACGCATGCGGGCGGTCCCATTGGAGCCTTCGGTGGAGCGTCCTGTGGGGCCACGAAACGCGTGCGGGGCATGCTAAAGTCAGGGGGTAACGGGCGGAAGGAGGAGGGAGGGGAGGAGGAGGAGGAGGAGGAGGAGGAGGAGGAGGAGGAGGAGGAGGAGGAGGAGGAGGAGGCGGAGGAGGAGGAGGAGGAGGAGGAGGAGGAGGAGGAGAGGAGAGGAGGAGGAGGAAGAGGAGGAGAGGAGGAGGAGGGACGCGGGGCGCTCTCTTCAAAACGAAGACCCAACAACACAAGTTGGTTGGGAATGATTGTTGATCCCCACTCTGGTAGCCTTTGTATGTTTCAAGTGAGGTGCCTCACTCGGGTTCGGAGGAGGAAGAGGAGGAGGGGGAGGAAGGGCAGGAGGAGGACTAGTGTAAACCCAAGAGTCATCAACGATTTTGGATACACCTCCTCTCCAAACAATCTCTTCAAAGGCCCCTACAACGGTTCACTTCCATTGGGGGAGCGGCCTCTTTGGAAGACAACCGTTCGAAGACCATGAGGCATGTCAAAACAGTGTTTCGGAATTCCAACGCCACGGATAAACCTGACTGCTGCGTCTTGACAACGCTGGGGTCGGCTCGTGCGAAATGGCAAGTTTTCCCACGGTAGGCAGCAGGCGGCGGCGTGCGCCAGAGCACTCAGCAGGCCGCCGCAAAGGGCTATGCTGCCGAAGGACGTGGCTCGAAGATGGGCGAACCACCTGGGGGTGCCCATCCCCCCCTCGTCGCTCCTCGTCGCCACGGCTGGGCCCTCGCCGCCACGTGAGAGAAACGGCATGGAGAAGAAATAGCTGGACTGAAGCCATCAGCTACAATTCTGGAGCAAAGCCGAACCTTATCGCCCGGGGACGGCCTGGGGTAGGGGAAGCTTTCATCGCTACCGTTGCGCGTGCTTCGCGACCTCGAAGTTTGGCCAGCATGATCCAGCATGATCCTCCTCATCCTGCTTCTCCTCCTCCCTCCTCCCCCTCCCTCCTCCCTCCTACAGCGGCCGCTGTGGTGCAGGCGGCATGCTTTCACAAATGGGCATCGCCCGCGGCGGCGTGGACAACGACCCCTGTTCAAAATGGACGAGAACTACTGTCGGTCTTCGTACCCATTACTTCCGCACCCGTGTCGACAGCACCAATCTCAGAAAGCAGCCGGGTGGATATCTATGAAGCCCCCCTGCCTTCTCAGAAGCCCCTCCACCTTCGTCGCGGGCCGCCCCATCTCGCGCCACACCCTCGTGGGCGCCACCGCGAGCATCTCTTAACCGATCCCCATCCCCACTTGCGTGGCCTGGGCCGCACTTGCAAATTTACCCTCTTAGATGGGGATATAGGCTCGCCTCCTCGGGTTTCGAAGGGTGTATCCCTAGCTGGGACGGTGTGGTGGTGGTGGGGTTGAGATACCATGGCTCGATGGGGATGTGTCTAACGGCGCTGACGCAAACAACGAAATAAGGGACATTGCGCCGACCTTGCAGACGTGCTGCAATGAATGATTGCGTAGAATTCTGCCCATGCAAATCCCCGAAACGGCAAGCGAAAAACGAAGTGAATTTCACGTGGAAATTTTGTCGTCTTCGCTCCTGGCCAAAACCAATCCGCACGGAATTCACCTCGAAATCCGGAGCAAGATTCTCCAGGACAATCCGGGCCTATCCCAGTGTTTTCCGATCGAAATCTGCTCTTCGATGTTAGCGCCATGACAAGGGGGCTGAGCGAGCAAGCAAAGCCGCTGGCAGGCGCCCTCGCTGCGGCACTCTGGGGCGCTGCCCCCCGGCGCCTGCTGCTGCTCGCTCTCTGGCCTGGGCGCGGGGGCGGAGCACGCGACAACGAGAGGTGCAGCGCTGGTGGCGGACACAGTCACGACAACAGTCCGTGTCCCTGTGATCGGATGGCGCTCATGAGCATCGTTTGACGGATCCCCATCTTCATGGGCGTGGCCTGGGCTTCACTGGCCGCTGTACCCACTAGATGGGGATGTAGGCTGCTTCCTTCGGCTTTTCAGAGGGGTATATCCACAACTGGGCGCTGAGATGGTGGGGGTCTGGCTGGGGATGGGGATGGTCGTCGGTTGAACGATACTGACCATAACCCGTGAGCCAGGGCGAAGAACGCATCCCTTACTCCGACCGCAGCCCCTCGAAACGAGGAGAGAAACCCCGCCGTGAGCCCGCGGCTTGCCGTGGGGCGCCTAATCCGCCAGGCAGGGACAGGGCAGGGGGGGAGAGCGGGGGAGGGAGAAAAAGGAAGGACGGAGGAGAAAGGAAAGGAGGGGGACAGAACAAAACACTCCGTGGGGGCCCAGCTCGTCCCGCCGTGCGACCTAGCGAGGCCCAAAGAAGATCCTCCAGGTGAAGACCCGGAGCGCCTGGGACGCCACCCCGAAGCTGCACCGCACTCTGGTGCACTGCCCGAGGCCGGAATCCGAGCACGAGTTACGCGAGCCTAGGCCCAAAAAGCCGCATCATTCACCAACCTTTACGTATCATATCCAAGACATGCCGACTTCTACTGAGAGTGTGCCACCTAGTCGCTCCACCCTCTACAACGAAGAGCCCAGATACTCAACTACCTTCCGAAACCCCTCACGTCCTGGTTCCCCGTGTCCTGATACATACCTCTCCGTCTCCTCAACATCCGCTATCGTCGGTCCTCGCTTCGTCGTCCCCAACAGCCCCGCCGACGCCGCGCGACTCCGAGGAGGGGGCGCCTCCAAGCCCAGAATTCCCGAATCTCAGCCAGACGATTAAATTGTCCATAACCCCCTGGGTCCCCGAAGTCCTTCCTGAAGTCCTCTTATGCTAAGCTCTCCTCCGAGTCCCCTCGACTCCCGAACGTCCCGAAGAAATCATCATAGGGAACAGTCTCCTCAAAGCCCCCTGGGTCACCGCAGGCTGTGAGAAAGGACTCAAAAGCGACATCGAAATCATTGGCATTCGACTCGACGATGATGATCGTTTTTCCCGCTTGTCCTCGAATACCGTATCGGAATGGCAGTTCTGGTTCTCCCTTTGACTGCGCGCGACCTCGAGCGTCTTCCCACATGCCTTGGGTGATTGTCTGAACTCTCCGAACTTGGTAGAACATTCAGCGCTGGCGAAAGACTTGGAAGCGTTACTCCCTGGGCGTGTCATTCTCGGTTCAAGGAAATCAGAAAAATGGTCAAGCCCTGGCGGTCTCAGCGGCAATCCCGAAGTACCTGCCTCTGAAGCCTTGTGTATTCCAGGACACACATCGAAACACTCCTGCAACTCCGTCTCCATGTGTGGGACGCGCAGAGACATACTCGTACTATATGTCCACCTTGGCGGCGAGCGTCCGACCCGAACATATAGTATACCCATCTTGCAGTATATCGTTTCCCCAGCGGTGTGGCCAGAAAGCGCCCACCACGACGCATGTACTATAAGATTTCTTGGTGCGCGCGTCGCCCCTGGGGGGGGCGACGCACATATAGTATAAGTATGTTGGGGTGACGCCGAATGTGCGTCGCTGGTGCATGGCCCGACCTGAGCTCTGCCCCAATCTGCCACAGCCCGTTCAGCAAACCGGTACTTGCCACCGAAATGCACAAGGTGATCCTGCGATTGCTTTCTTCGTAACAATGGTCTGCGTTGGTAAACTTGATGATGTCCATCTCATGCTGGCACTCGAAATTCGAGAGAACATTCTTGTGAACTCCGTCAGTTTGTCGTAGTTGTGCTTGCCGTTCGATTCCCTGTGAACCAGTACCACCTCGAGAAGAATTCCGAATACCCCCGAGCGTGGAGCTCCGAGACTGCATGATCATGTTTTTCGCTCCTGTACCGTTTGGTTCTACATCCCTTCGATATTCCGGCGGCTCTAAGTGAGCGAGAGGAGCACCTTCATCATCAGCGTGAACAGCGCTTCGTTGCGTCGGCAACCCATGGCTGCTCTTGGCGACTTTGCTGTTGCCCTCGTCCTCGCGCCGCTATACCAGGCGGTCCTGGCGCTTTCTGTCGGCGGGCAACGTGCTACCCAAGACAAGCGACGTGGCCCGGGGCACCCGCGTTCCGTACCTGCTCCGTGTGCTCGCGAGGCTGAATCGCAACAGGGGGAGGAAGAAAGTGGCATTCAACATCACGATCGTGATAATCATCGAATGTGTCAAACCCCTCGGCACGCATCACACAATCAAAGGCCTTCGGATGGGTCGGGCTCCAAGAAAACACTGTCCCTCTACATCGATTCGTCAACCAAACTGTCCGGACACGATGTCCAGCACCGCCTTGAATAAAATGACATGTGTGGCATCATGGGCATACATTCGTGATGGATGAATTTCCCGCGTTCCCCGCGAGGTGATCCGTATTGGTGTGACAAGAGGCCCTCGGGAGCCAAATTGTTGAAGACACATATTGCCCTGGGCGTCCCCAAGGGAACACCTGTAGGGGCCCGTCTCGCGCGAAGCCTCACCTCCATACTCAAGATACATGGCACACCCCCGCAATTGTTGTCGAAGGGCGTCCGCTTCCTCCGACGGAATCGCGTACCTCAAGACCTCAGGATTGCCCTTCAAGCGGAACCCCCGTACCTCCTTTGAGACAAAACACCAACGCTCTCCAAAATGAGCTCGATGTCCCAGGCCTCGGTACCCGCGAAAATTCAAACATCTCGCTCAATCTGGAAAACCGAACGTGGGGCCCCCGCTCGAAACCGTCCCGCTTCGTCGAGGGAGGGAAAACGATTGGTCACTGCACCCTATATCGCCGCAGTCACCTGCTGGTGCGCGACACCGTCCTTGGCCATGTGCGGCACCCATGCAAAACGTCTCGCTGCCTGCTCAAAAGGGAGCGGGATCAGGCGCCACTTCTGACGGATCGCGGCGTTTGGCGTCGAGTGCGGGCGCTCACCTGTCCAGTCCGTGTCCTTTTTCCCCGCTCCAGCACACGATAAAACTTTACCAATCGTGCGTCTAGATGTACTGTGTCAAGGCCCGTGTAACCACAAATGGTTCGTGGGCTGGCAAAGCTGCCTCAACCACGTGGCCCCGAAAAGGCAATCGTTCTTAGGGTCTCACTTGTATGTCTAATCCATCACTCCCCCATCATCCCCCATTCGACATCTACCGCTGAACATCTATGATTTCGAAATTCCTCCATAATAGACAGGTTCCAGGAATATCGAACCCCACAATATCCAATCCTAACTACAGACTGTCGACCCGCTTTTCGACTAATTACGCAAACGAAGAACGGTCTATGTGTCTTTCTCTCTTGTCTCTCTTGGAACAACTCTGAATCAGGCACTTGTCCCCCAACCCCTGGTCTGACTCCGCATCGCTCGTCGACAGCTTCTCGTCGGCCCTAGCCGGCGTCGTATCGCCGACCGGAGCCTTACCGAACATGTCGTCAACATACACCGCCGTCGTACCACGGCACACTTCCCCGTAGATCCCACACCCGAGCAGCGTCGCCTCCTCGGTCCGTGCTCGCTCGTCGATCCACTCACGCGTGGGGCCCTCCATCACCGTCGCGGAGGCCACGGGCTCTCCGCTCGACCCCACGAGGACCCCCTCGTCGATGCCTCACAGACAGCTGCGTTGTCGATGGCCGTGCCGCGACGATGTCGGTAGACACTGAGATCTCGACGGGTCGGGGGCAATAACGCCCATGGTCCTTTTGCACGCACCCGGGACCTACGCCAACGTCATTGTCGGTAGCTAGAGGGATACTGACGGTTCGGAACGAGAGGCGCGCGTCGGAATCGCATACCGTGGAACCACGGGGGAAGACACGCCGACGCCCCGCGGGGGCCCTGGAGCGCTGCTCCTGACCGCCCGCAACAACGGTCGCTCCCTTCGGTGGCGTAAGACAACATTATCGAAACCACGCGCTCCCAATGAGGCCCTAGAAGTCACGCATTCGCCCAAACGGGCCGGATAACCTTGCCATGTTGTTGTCGTGGCGTGTGTTACATCGCTGCTACGTTACGCGCAGTGTTATGTTTGTTGGGGGGAGATAATGACTTGGCTCCTGCCAAAATGCAACACGTGACATACACGTTCGAACATCAGATTTTGCTCTTGGGTTTTCCGCGCGACTAATCGGAAGGCGGTCAGAAACACCCCAAACTAGGAGATGGGGCACGAGCTTAGGTCTGGGCCCTGCTGGGGGATACCTCTGGCCGAATACAGAAACCGCTAAAGGGAACACCGAGGGGGCCCAGAGGGGGCGAGAGAGTCTGTAGACACGCATGCATGTGCAGAACTGGTAGGTTTGTACGTATTAATGCGCATGTGGAAATCACGCGCGCTCAAGTTCTAGCTAGGCTGGACGGTCGAACTCTCGGGGACTTCTCTTTTATGCTACTTCTTCTCCGTGACTTCCAAAAACCACAACGACGGCCCAAGTGGCTTCCAAGACTCCCTGCGGTCCACCCACGGCGGCCTAAAACACGCTGAAAAGGCACTTCGGGGGCCTTCTCTTCGCCGCGGCTGGACGCAGCCGGAGGAAGAGGGAGGAAAAGAGGAGGTGAAGGGGTTCCCTGCGGGAGAGGGAGGGCGATGATGTGGAGGCCGCAGAGGAGGAACAGGAGGAGGAAGAGTAAGAGGGCATGATATATATTTTGTTTTGCAAGCGTAGCCAGGCTACCAGGCGAACTTGAAAAAACAGGAATGTTGGAATTCCCTTTTTTCGAACGCCCTCTGGGACTCTTCTGGGGCTCTGTGGGGTCTCTCTGGGGCTCCTTGGGCACCTCTTAAGGCCTCCTGGGCGTCTCCTGGGACGAAGATCTCAAGTTCTCGGTTCACGTTCCCGCTCCTCGGCCGCGGTTGGGGCCCTTTCGGGCCGTCTTGGACGTCTCCTCGGCCGTTTTGGAGCCGTCTTGGAGCCGTCTTGGGGCGCTTTTGACACCTATTGGGCCGTCTTGCGGCGATCATCGGGGCCTCTTGGGGCGTCTTGCAGCGTCGGGAAGCGGAGCAGGTGGAAACGCCACAGTTGCTCAACAACCTGAGGATATATGAATGTCTGTTGGCCTGTTCGAACTGAACTCCCTCGGGAGACCTTTTGGAGGCCTCTTGGGTATCTTGGGGGCCTCCTGGGCCGTTTGGGGGCCGTCTTGGACCGTCTGTTGGCCTTCGGCCCATCCCGCCACCGTGTCTGGGTTGTGGGTTTGAGGCCTCTTGGAAGTTCGTTTTGGCATCCTGGGAGGCCCCTCGGGGGCCTCTTGGAGGCCGTTTGGGGGCCTCAGGGGCCTCTCTTTGGACCTCTTGGGGGCCTCGTGGGGTCTCTAGGGGGCACCTTGGGCTCTCTTGGGGGCCTCTTGAGGTCTCCAGGGGGCCTCTTGGGGCGGAAGGCTCGAATTGTCAGTTCGTGTTCCTCCTCTGGGGCCCCTCTGGGGGCCATCTTGGGGCCCTCGTTCGCGATCTTGGGCGCCTCTTGGGCCGTTATAGGGCCCTCTTGGACCGAGTTTGAGCCCTCTTGGGAGCCTCTGCGGCTGTCTTGGGGCGGTCTTGGGTGCCTCCAGGGCCATCTTGGAGTGTCGGAAATTCAAAACGTGAGAGAGCAACAAATCATTGAAATAAACATAGGGGACAATACTGAGGTTTGCCTGTTTGGGTCCTCTTGGGACGTCTTTGGAGCCTCTTGGGCCGTCTTGGGGCCATCTTGGGCGTCTTGGATCGCTCTTGGGCTGTCTTGGCGGCCCCTTGGACCCTATTGGGCGCTTTCTAGGGCCCTCTGGCCTCTCTGACCCGTCTCTGGGAAGCGAACCGGGAGGGTAGCAGACAACTTTCCTGGATGGCTGCGGACTGGGCGCCCCCAGGCCGGGGGGGTCTATTGATTCATATATATATATATATATATTGACAGAACAGCCAAAATCCATGTTCTACATCCGCTTAAGCACGCCCTCGGGCCTGCGTGAAGAGATTGAATAAAAAACATGGGCCCTCAGATCCTCCTGGGAAACGTCGCGTGCCTCTCGGGGCTTGTCGCGCGTTCCCGCATGACGTCTTCGGAGCCACAGAGCAGCTCCCAAACGGCCCTAGAGGGCCAAACAAGACCCCCAAGGCGGACCCAGAACGACAGCAGCATTGACGTTCCGTTGTTTTTCTGAAGATTTCAGCGTTCTCGCCTTTACGAGCTTTCGACGCTCCAAAACGGCCTACGAGGCCCCACATGTCTCCCCAAGACGGCCAGAAGCCTCCCAAACGGCCTCCAGACCGCCCAAGGGAACGCAAACCCTAGAGAAGCCCCCCTGCTGGCAGCTCCGGGAGAGGCCCCGAAGAAGCCCCCAGACAGCCTCCAAGAGACTCGCGAGAGGCTTCCCGAGATCCCCACAAGCATCCAAGAAACCTAGGCACGGTGGCGGAATGGGCCGAAGGCCACTGGATATGTGCGCACACATCATATACACATATAATCATATGCAGCTCTCCGAAGGAATAGCACTCAAACGCGATTCGCGGCCGTCCCCTTCAGAGATTTGTTGCCCGTCTCGCTCGGGACGTCCTCAACATTCTGAAATGTGTGGCACCCGTCGTGCAGAGCGCGCCGTCACGGTCCAAACTCATATCTTTTTCTATAACAGGTTTCACATCACGCCTTCAAGCACGCATCTCAATTTCATGTTTTTTGCGCTCGATTGCTCGAACATTGCAATTTCGCCTCGGACGTCCTCCAAACACCAAGCCCCATGTCCAACGCGATCCTTAAGAACAGGCGTGAGCTGCGTTGTGTAAGCTATGTGGCACAACAAGTACAACGCAACGTGATACACGTAATGTACGCTACGTGGTGCAATATAGGTGGTACGATCGCAGGGGTGTAATTTATGTCGTGCAAGCTATGTGGTGCATCCATGTGGTGCGATCTTTGCGGAGTACACTATGTGGCACTATAAATCGTGCAATGCTTGCATTGGGCTGTGTGGTGCAAGCTACGTGGTGCAATATGTGGTATGAACTATGAAGTATCACCTATGTAGTGCAATGCGTGTGGTGTGAACCATGTAATGAACGCACAGGGTTCCCCACAAAACGGCACCATGGCGGACATTTGCAGGACCCACCCTGCGCACGAGGCAGCCACGAGCCGGCCAGGTCGTCAATGGCGCAATCAAAGCCCCGACCACTGTGCTGGGAAGAAGGGTGAACACGCATATGACATACAATATATAGTTGGGAAAGGAGGAAAGGAGGGGGTAGGAGGCACGATGGGGGGAGGGAACATCCATGATGAGGATATCGGCGATCGTGCATGCGGATAAAAAAAAAAACAGCAACACAACATATGAACAGACGCGGATCTCCTTTCCG